GCAAAATTGTTCTTGGAGCTTATTTTATTGTGTCGCGTTATTTGCATATTGTTTTGGTTTCTTTCTCGTGAGGTGAATAAGCAAAAAAATGTGTACATGAAAAGAAAGAGAGGAAGTGAAGGGGAGGAGAAAGTTAAGGAACATCAAGGCATCCTGGTGTGGTGGTAGCTGATGTCGCTAATGCGTTCTTTGAGAAGTAAACAGAGAAAGCGACACGCACATACAGTCGCCATTGAATAGGACAGTGGTGGAACGAACGCAGAAGCAAGAATCAGAGAAAAAGACGTCGAAGGTGGAGTAAAGAGGATAAAGAGTTGTAGGAAGAGGAAGAGATGAGATGGGAGTTGGAAGAGCAAATAGTTTCGAGGAAAAGCGAGATGGAATTAAAGGATAAGTGAGAGGAGGGAAAAGACTAGGAGTAGTAGGAGTGAAAATGGTAAAGTGTTGGAGGAGGAGAAGAAGAGAAAGGAATCGGAGGAGCCAAAAAACATTTGAAGAAGGAGAGAGGGTTTAAGGATATGTAAGCAGTAGTATGAGGGAAATAGGAAGGAAGTAATGGGTTGAAGGAAGAGGAGTAGAGAAGAAAGAGATTAGAGCAGGATGAAAGCAAGAGTAAGACATGGAAAAGGGTGGAGAATGGGTAATAGTCAGAGTAGAATAAACAGATGAAGGAGGAGGGAAGTAAAAGGAGAAGTAAGAGGAGTCTGTTTAGCCGAGCTAAATATTTTAAAATTGTTCATTGCATGCAACAAGCTTTGGGACGAGGCTAATTTTCTATAGCACACGGTGAGGAACACACACAGACACTTTCATTAACACCGTTTAACAGCAGTTTTACCTAATTTAATGCCATGCGTGATACACGCTTAGGTGATCATGTATCTTTCGATACATAACTGATGTAGCAGATTTTTTTCTCGCAGTAGATTGCCATTTATTTCTGCGGTAGACCAGTTGCCATCCAAGGCTATAGAACACGGTCTGTCCTGCTATTTACCCATAGCTGGTTAGTGGAGGAGGGGGGTTAGAAAAGAGGATTCATATCTTTTCCAAGGTTATTAGCACGTCAGTCAATCATGTGCCATGCGTGATACATGCTTGGGCGATCATGTATCTTTCAATACATGTTGCCTTGATCTATCCACTATCCTTCTCTCACCCTTTCTTCTATCACTCCTATCTGATCTTGCTCCAAAATTTTCTGTAACCCCTTGCGTCCTAGTGGCTTCTCGCCTTGCTTTGGGTGAAACAATATATATATATATATATATATATATATATATATATATATATATATATATATATATATATAATATAGAGATTTCAGGTATGCTATATTTAAGGATCGGTATGCTGTATCAAGGATAGAACGTCAGAGCGTATGTAAATATAAAATTGGTTATTGAGGTCTCATAAACGTAATCGTCACAACATTTACATAAAACATAAATATTAATCAGTTATGTGCCATGCGTGATACACGCTTAGGCGATCATGTATCTTTCGATACATGACTGACGATGCAGATTTTTTTCTGCAGTAGGTTGCCTTTCTTTCTGCGCTAGACCAGTTGCCATCCAAGGCTACAGAATCCGGTTTGTCTTGCTATTTACCCATAGCTAGTGGTTGAAGAAGAAGAGGTTTCATACCTTTCAAAATGATATTAGCACGTAAGTGGATTTGAAAGGAATCCGTACTCGGTTCTCTAATACTATTGTATAATGAGCATACATTTTTTTTTAATATTCAGCTTTCAAATTTGTTTAATATTTCTTTAAATAATGCATATTTCTTCAGCAATATTTTAGTGGAGACATTACTTAATTTTCAAATGAGAAATCCAAAATTAACACGAAATTTTACGGTACATAGAAGAAAAGTTTGCCACTCTTAGCAATATGAGTCTTTTTGTATATGTCCCCATTTCTGAGATGTGGTATTCTGTACACAATTTACATTATTCGAAGACTATCGTCCTCATCTTTGTTGCCATATTTATTACAACGTTTCGGCCGTTGTATGCTTCTTCAGGTGGTTGGAATATCGAACTGAACCCTTTATTCGCTTTCTGGGGTAGACTGTTTTAGTTCCACATGCCATGTCTAATGGATGTCAGTTATTAGTTATCTCATGTTAATTCCCCTCTCCAAGTTCTCCACTGTCTTAACCAGGTATTGAACTCACACTCTTTGGGTCCTCTCACTGGATCTAATTAAAAACTTTATCCACTGTGCCATGTGTCCTTGAGTCTTTTTTTACTGTGACCTGTTCAAGTCTAGGGCTAACCGTTATATTCCCTTCCTATCCGCATAAATTGCCTCTTGTTTCCCCTCTACCTTGAGTTTCCACTGGGTGTTATACAGGGTGAACCTCACTGTTCTGCCATCCATTTACACAAGCTCATTAGGTATGTTACTCGCTGTTTCCTTCTGTCCCTCTTGCTTTCAATATCCTGTGAGGGTCAAATTTTCTAATCTTTCTTTCCTCGTTATGTGTCCTAGACGTTTCAACTATCTTTTTCTAAGTTTTCTTTTCTTTTTATGTGCCATGTCCTTTCAGGACGTAGGCGATCATGGCTCTCCGCCTTCCTCTATCCCTTGCAGTTCTCAACAAGTTCCTTCCCTTTGCTTCCCCCCCCTCAAGACCACGTTCTGTCATCCACTGGCTCAAGCTCGCCAGGTATGTGTCTTTTTTGTTTCTGTATTCTTTGAAGCCGCCTTGTAACACCCATGATCCATTCATGGTATTCTCAGCAACCTTTTTCAACGATAAATCTGTTGCATCAAATCTCTCCTTCATTTATAGGGAATTTGTTTATAAGAATTTTTTTCATAACCAAATCGGAGCTCTTGTGCCAGACACACACACAAAAAAACTCAGTACAAACAGCAAGGCAAAATAATAGATGCAAAATTACAAAACAAGACAACCACTGCGTAAAATTTGAAAAGAAACTTTTTTTTAAAGCATTTCACCCCAAACAAAGCGGGTGTATCACTAGCACGCAAGGGGTTACAGAGAGTGAAAGTAAAATAAAAGAGGTGTGTTTGAGGAGAGGATAAAGAAAAGGATGGATATCAAGATCAAGACATCAGAAGATGTCGATTGATGTCGATTGACACTACATTTAAATATTTGAAGATTACAGTTATTAGGAAAGCAAGTAAGAGGAAGGGAGGTCCACTGTCGGGAAGTGCGAGAGAAGAAGCTGTTTGAAATGAAGGGGTGGTTACATTCAACTGTTTTGATAGCAAAAGGGTGGGACCGAAATGCCAACCTAGTAACACGCTTAAATTCATGCAGTTGGGGAACCAGTGAAGATAGCTCGTCAGAGCAGTTGATATGGAAAAATTTGTAGAAAAGAGGTATGTGAGAAAGTAATTGGTGCCGAGATGCCAGGCCAGGACCTATCACATTGCATATCTGTCTTTGAATTTTGTCGAGAACCTTGAGATGAACAGCGTACAATTACGAAAAAAAGGTACAAGTAAAATTTTCACAAAAATTTGCTTTCGTGCGGCTATTGAGACAGGATAACAATTTCAAATAGAAAGAATTACCAGCGAAAAATGGGGAAAAAAATACAGTTTGGGAAAAGACAAGGCTTTTGAAAATAACTAAAAGAGGAAACAATACAAGAAGGCGGTAAAAAAAAATGAAAGAAAAAATGGTGTAGCCGCCTTTGAGAAAAAAATGAAAACACCTACTTTTACTTGACCTACAAACGTGTTACTAGGTTGGCATCTCGGTCCCACCCTTTTACTATCAAAACAGTTGAATGTAACCACCCCTTCATTTCAAACAGCTTCTTCTCTCGCACTTCCCGACAGTGGAACTCCCTTCCTCTTACTTGCTTTCCTAATAACTGTAATCTTCAAACATTTAAATGTAGTGTCAATCGACATCTTCTGATGCCTTGATCTTTACAGTTCGTGCTTGGGAAAATTTCTTTCGTTCTAGGCTGTCCAACCAGAGGAGAATTTTCACTTGAACTTTTGGTTTTTCTGCGACTGGCCGGTAACTGTTGCTTTCTTTAATGTTCGCTTCTTGATGTCAAATGTCTTCTTTGATGTTCACGACCTGCCTTCTCCCCTTGCCGTCAAAAAGTCTTCTCCTGTATCTACTGACCTGAATTCTATTTATTTTAAACATCAGGCTCACCTCTTCCCCATTATTCGGGAGCTTGAGACCACATCTCTCATTGATCAATATATATATATATATATATATATATATATATAAACATTTCATCCCAAGCAAGGCTGGAGTGCCACTAGTACGCAAGGTGTTACAGAGAGTGAAAGTAAGAGAAAAAAAACTGGGTGTAGCGGGGATTAAGGAAAGGATAAAAAAAATATGGGGATCAAGGCAATAGAAGATGGCGATTGATGTTGCATTTAAGTTTTTGAAGATTTTAGTTATCAGTGAAGCGAGTAAGAGGAAAGGAGTTACACTGTTGGGAAGTGAGAGAGAATAAATTGCTGGAATAGAAGTGACGGTTACATTTAACTACTTCAACAGTAATGCATACGAGTAAAAATCATTTCCCATAAACTGGAAACGGATCTTGCAAATATTTTGCCGGGCTTTTACCGCTGAGCCGAAAAAGATATACAATTGTAGAAATTTTAAACACAAACCGTCTGGCCGTCATAAAAATACACTTCTCTCAAAAGAACGTGCATGAAAAAAAAACCCCCAAAAAACTAGACGATTATACAATGCTAACATTTTTAAAATCATAAAAATATATTTTTTTTAATGTTCAGCAATCACAACCATATAGGAGGATTGTTTTCGGCTTCTTAATACTTTATTTATATTTTGAAAGGCATCTTTTGTTTATTCCAGTGCGGCTTTGGATTTCAGTGTTATACTTTCTGTCAACTGTTGAAACACATTTTTTAATCATTTCACTCCAAGCAAGGCAACAAAGCCACTAAGATGCAAGGTCTTAGCGAGTGTAAAGGAATATAATAAAGAGAAACGCGAAGAGGCAA